TACTCCTTTTCCTCCACAATCGGCGAGCCGATGACTTTCGGCACGCTCTCCTCCTGGTGTATGGCCCCCCAAGGCGGAAATCCTCTTCATCCCTAGTCGTCCCGACGCCAAGTCTTCTCGTGGCAGACTCGCCTGCTGCTCGTCTGGCATTTCTGGCATCTCGTCATGGACGGCGTTGTCTGCGGTGTGTCCCTGCTCATAGTTGTTCGCACCAAGCGTCAGTCTCCGACCGCTGCTGATGTCAGTCAGACGCGAGCGGCGCACTGCGGGAGTGGCGCATTGGGTGCACGGCCTGCGGAACGGGCGGCGCGCGGGGATGCTGTCGAGTAGACCAGGGAGCTGGAGTCCGTCACCTCCGTACCCCGTATTTCGGAACAGGAGGCCCTGTTCGCGCTCGCCCATGTCTTCCTTCCGGCTGATGAATGAATCGGCATCGACGTCATCGTCCGAAGAAATTTGGTCGTCAATGTTAAAGTTGGCGTCGACCCGCACTGGCGATATGATCGGCGTGTGCGCCGTACTGTTGAGGGCCGTGTGGTACGAGCTCACGTCGTCAGGATTGCTGCCACGAGACACGACACTGCGGCTCACGTTCTTCGGTGATATGATGGGCAGGTCAATAGACGTGTTCGGCGTGTGACGAGACATTGGTCTCGTGTAGCGTATCGAGCTTGTGCTGGATATTGTGGGCGTGTTTGACGATACCGACCATTGGTTGAGGCTACTGGTTCGGACCGGGATGTGCTCATAAATTTCGTCGAGCCTGATGCGTCCATGAAGAGGGCCAAGGCTTTTCGCTCGCTGGTAAGCGCCCTCAATGCTTTTCCCCCGGGGGCGGACGGTTTGCTTGGATTCTGTGGCATGTCAACTTTATGGTCAGGAACAACATTCTGGGAGCTACTGACGAGGCAGGGACACCGGGGGGTTGGCGGCGGTTGGAAGCTCATAATGATCAACCCAGTCGTCGCTTTCATCTGGTGAATCGTATCCGTCATCGGTCTTGTGGTTTTGGGATTTGTTCAACCGCAGCGGTGAGACAAAGAGCGAGGCATCACTGGGCCTGGGATATTCGTCTCGATCCCCTGCATAGTCGACATGTTGAAACACATCCTCGTGGGTAGAATAGCGCATGTCGTCCATCCTGCGACGGTGCGTCTTTCTGCTCGTCTTCGAGCTGCCCGGCAGAGAATAATTCGTCTTCGCCAGCATGACCGAGTCTCGTGCAAATGGCGCAGACAGAGCTGGTGGTTCAGGCTGCATTTGCGGCAACAGATGAGAATAAATGCCCAGGCCGCTGCTTGTCGACGAGCGGAAACTCGAACGCTGTTCCTTGCTCACAAGCTGGTTGGCACTTCGCGTTGGTTTGTGCATGCTCTTGGGTCTTGGTGCCGTTTCTGTATAGGGCGATGTCGGAGCAGTGGGAATGTATGAGCTTAGAGACTGCCGCCTATCCACACGGTTGGGCTGTGACATGTGGAGGCTGAGTCTTGAAGTGGAGAGCTCGTTTGTACTTGAATACTCTGACGAGGATGGAAAGGGGGGATTCTGGAGGAGCGGATTGACCAAGTCATGGTGAGATGAGCGTCTAGTGGTGCTTCGAGGGTAATTGTACGGCGCTTGTGGCTGGAAAGGTCGTCCATTGTCACCAAAGGTGCTTGTCCAGATGGGTGGAGGGTAGCTGTCTGGTGGCTCGCACGGATTGGTTCCTGTCAGCGCATAAAAGGCTTGGGCCTGTGGTGAGGTCAAATCGAAGCCGTTCTCGCCGAGGTTTCTGTCGGCAACATCCTCGCCGTAGTCTCTTGCTCCTTCGGCCTTGATCCTTGTCTGGAAATGCAGAGGCACATACTGCGACTGCGCATCTATCAGGTCAACATAGCCCTTGCCCGTGTTCATGGTGAGCAGAGAATTGGTTCGAGCACGAGAGAAGGGGGCGGATGGCGCTTGCAGATTATTGTGCAGGGACGTGCCAGACAGGCGTTTCGAGCTGATCAAGGGCGTCTTGTTTGAATAGGTAGAGTCCGTTCTGGGTTTCCGGAAAGATACAGGGGGCGCTTTCATGAGAGAGTTTCTTCGTCTTTGGGGACTTAGCTTTGCCAGGCTTGCTGGTACGTTGGGGGCAGTTCTTGGCCTCTCAAAGTCAATATCTCGAAAGCGTGGCACAAATGGTGCGGGTGCACCACCATCCGAATCACTATCCGGGGATGGCAAGCGTTGCTGGGGCTGCTGGCGAGGCCGTTGCAGGCGCTCGCGGGATGCTGCTGCTGCTCCATTTCTGATCATTGGATACGTCCCTGTTCATCATCCAGTCAACATAAGAACGAGACATGTTGGGAAGAGTACTATACCTCGAACAGGCGGTGACGACGGCGTTGTAGC